TTCTTTCACAGACGATGCTGAGGCCGTTAAGCCCTTCACAGGAACGAAAATGCAAATGAAGTAAATGACGTTCACATAGGCCCATGCTGCGAACTCAAGAAGCCCAGAAACCATGGCGAGCATCACGAGCTGAAGATAGTGGGAAAGCGGGAATGCCGAAAGCATCGCCCCAATCGCTTTGTTTTGCACGGAATTTGATTGATCAGGGCCTACAGCCAGATCAACATCAGCAGTCGCCACCACTTGAAATTTCAAGTTGCGGCATCCCCATGCGCGCCGAGCCCTGTTTAACAGGCTCTCTCCCATTCTACCACTTCACTGTCAAGTTCTGATCATATCGAATAGACGCCTCTCGAAAAGATCAAAGCCCTCCTGAGTCAAACGGGATATGGTAGGCTGCGGTGCAGCCCGCTTGTAGAGCAAGTCAAATAAGGCCCATGCATGAGAACACGTGCGACTCCACTGAAGCATGCGTGCATGTTTGGTGGGATTGAGCAAACTACGTGCGCGAAGCACTGCTACTTCACCACGTCTCACATACTCCCTGGCCGATCGCTCACGAAGCCATCTGCCAAACAGCAAAAGGTCGGCCATCGGCATGCCCTGCCGTGAAAGCTCAGAAGCACCTGAGCGCCTGAAAGAATGAGTTGTGAGGTGAATATCGCCAGCCCCCATCAGTGCTGCCAACTTTTTCGTCCACCGTAAAACAGTACTGTACGAGATTGAAACCAACGATTGCGTAGAGGATCCCATCGGAAAGCGATGAAGATAAAGTTTAATCCACGTCACAACGCTTTCATGCCGTAGAACAACTTTTTGCTCCATCCCACGTTTAGTGAGGCCTAGGCATAACGTCACACAATCCGGAAGGATGAACACATCACCACATGTCAAATGCAGGCATTCACGCACTCTCAGCAACCCAGTATAGCACAATAAAATAACCAGGCTCAATTGAGGCTTGTTGAGCAACAGCGCCGCCACGATCATCGCGGTGATGAGTTCTGGGGGAGCTGCTGGGGCTTGCTGGGGAGGTCGTTGCACCCCCCACGCGTCATATACCTTCCAAGCCGTTTTGTAAGTCCGCCTGGGGTTGACTTTTTGCACGGCTGAAAGGGCCCACCCATATTCGCTACGCCCTTTTCCAGCTTCAAATCCTTCAATCACCCATTCGGCAAGAAAGACATCCTGGTCTTCTTCATTCATGGATCCCCATTGGAAACCTGCCACCCGTAAATCACTGTTCAGATGCTCCAATGCCTGACAATATTTCGTCTGCGTTGAAGGTCGCAAGGTTTTCAGCAAGAAAGCCTGGATGCGGCTCGAGCCATTTCCAATGCAGGCCATGCAGCCCGTACCAAGGATCCTTGGTCACGAACTCCAAAGGCCAGTGTGGTTTGAAGGGCCGACAATAGCCCTTCCTGTAGACACTGACGCATCGCATAACGCAGGATTGAGCTAGCGCATAACAAAACGGACTGGAATAGCCCACATGCGGAGCAAAACCGATCATACCATCACAAGCCTCAGGCTCCAAGCACTCCTGATTCGCGCTACGCCGCGCGTACTTTGCACATGGACACAAGCAATGCTGAGGTAGCAGCAGACCTGTGGGTTTCTTACTCATTGCTCCATACATGCATTGGTGAGCTTCAACATACCGCAACCGAAACCGCTGACAGAAATCTTTCACCACTTCAGTCGCAAAGAAGGATGGAAAATTCTGCCCCGGGTCTGCAGGGTGTCCCAGACCTATCCACGCCCCCTCCATCGCCAGCTCGCCCAGCAACCCTAGGCACAGCAAATACAGAAGAGAATCGACCATCACTGATCGTTGTTCGCGGACGCTGCAACTAGCCAGCGGTTCCCAGAAATGCTCACGACTCCGACAGGGGCGCGGACGAGCCCGTGACAAAGTTCTGTACGGTGGTGTGGCGAACCCTCCGATGGTACATCCACCATGGATCAAATCCAACAGGAATAAAGCTTGCTGCCCTATCAGGAGATCACCACGCCCACGGCCACTGTATACTTGATCAAGATTCCCGGTGTCGGCCAAAGGGTCTACATGTATAGCAATAATGTTTAATTCGTGAATAGCACCCAATTTTTCAATCCAGAAACACAGATCACCATCTCGCCGCGGCCCAGAACACACATGAATGAAGAACTTGCTATCGTTTGGCCAACAACCGAGACCCGTCACTACCAACTCGCCCGACGGCTCAGGTTGCCCCTCATCGGCTTGCTCATCGTTGGGCTCCCACCTCCGCGAAGGTTCATCGGCGGGATTCTCTTTGGATGGGACCCACGGGTAGAAGACTTCATGACCACCAGCTACCCCGATAGCACACATCCGCTGACAACGCTGGTTCAATGCTCGTGAGCTGGATCTTCCTTTGGTAAAGCAACCCACGCAAGCAGCTGAGTCAAGCGGGTGGACAAAACGGCTACCATCATCCGCTGGCCTCCGCAATCGATCAGCGGCGGCCCAGGTCACAGCATCCGCCTCGCCCAAGGTGATATGTGAGGACATCCACTGCGCCCCCGCCGTAAACCACTTGATGCGCTCTACTGGTATGCGAACCCGTCGCAAAGGGCACTTATGCTCCGAGGTGAGGCCAATGCTCCAAGGCAAACTCAGATTTGTGTAAACCCGTCCATGATCGGCATAACGAGCTATGGTCTGGACCACGTTGCGTGGAACCACACCCCAAGCACGACCGATACCGCTCATCGACGCGTCAGTGCACTCCACTCGGCAGCTCCATTCCGCTGACAGATTGAAAGAACAGAAAGGCAGCAATAGCGCTGAAATGGCCAACTCAACCCATACCTTGCGAGGAATTTCAACCAGGTCCCGCCTCCGACCACGAACCGAGTCCAGCCAGGAATAGCTCGCTTCAAAGATTGACCTCATGATGGCCCGCGCAGAATGTACAAAGCCATGTTTGCCAATCAACCTGTCTACAACTGCCACCATCACTCTCCTCTGCCGCAGAACCCAAACGGTTGCCTGGAACAGCCATCGCCTTTTCTCCAAACTCACACCGACCCAATGTTCCAACGGATCCACATAGTAACCCTGGACTTCCTCCCCCATCGCATTATCAATGCTTTTCTTGGAGTTGGGCTCCACACCACGCGCGACCCAGGCCCTTTCAGCAGCGTCCATCCATGACGCTCCCACGCCTGCATCGAGCTGGCTGCCGACATGTTCAATGGCCCACACGTCATCGACAATGGAGCCCCAAACCGGCATGGTACTAGGGGGAACTGTATCAGGGTGCAGCCTCTGTTCCGGCGGTAACTGGGCATCCAAAGCAATCACGTCGGTCAATCCCTGCGCCCAGCCCGCCGATGGACCAAACCCCATGGGAGCCGAACACGAGGCTGGATAGCGAAAGCCGTCCTGGCCTGTAGATGATGTGGTCTGTATCGGCGGTCCGCACAGCCATCGTCGCCAACGCCTCCCGATCTGCAAGCGATGAAAGTAGTGCCGAGCATCACGCTTCGAAACCACCAAAATCCCTCCTGCCGGCACCGCGACTGTCCGCATCTTCGGGATGTAAGCGAATCGAGGCCTGGGCAACTTTACTGGGTCAAGAAGTTGATTGACGCTGGGATCGGTGATAACTCTATCTTCATTTGCATCCTTTCGCACTGCAAAGGCTCCCGCCAGGCAGACAACGCCGCGATGCCGAGCAACTTGATGCGGCTTCTTCAGACGATGCAGCCCTGCGCGAACATTGCGCCTCACCAGCTCGGGGTAAGAGGATGCCAACCACGTGTAGCCACGCTTAACACGCCTTGGCCTCCGTTTGGATGGAAGTAGCAGAGTTTCGGGTCGGATAACCTGATCAGCCATCTCTGGAAACGAGTCCTTCAAGTGCTCATGCAGACATACATCCGCTGCCTTTTGAGGGACCCCTCCCCTCACCCCAAGAGCCAACACTACTCCGCCACCAGAATAGTGCTCAGACTGCTTTAGAAAACTGTCCAGCCCAACACCAGACAAAGTAGGCTCATCGGTCAACACCATTGCCTCCAAGGCACATACAATCCGAGCATGTACCCGACGATGGGCTGCAGTAGGCGGAGACCTTACCTCAGCCTCAAACTGCCCCCCGAATAGCGAATTTAGCGCCGCCACCACCAGGTTGGCACCCTCCAGTAAGCCCGGGCACACAGACAGATCACGATCTGCCGAGCGACTGGTTCCAGAAGATATGGGCGGCAAAGGAAAAACATGCGCAGGAGAGTGGCCTGACCTCCCTCCTCCTAAAGGTGACACGCTTGTCTTATTTAATTCACGCAAAAGACGGTGCACACGGTGAACTTCCTGACCCAGTGAGCAATCGAGCCCTATACCTCCCCGCAGCGAGTAGGCCAAGCTACCCACGACAGCAGAGAAAAATGCCCCAAAACCCATGGGATCCTGCGTCACCGCACCGCGCAGGCTCATGGCCTGCCGAAACCTTTTGATCAGGCGTTCGTCAAAGCCAGCATACCACTGCTGGCCAGGGACTTCTGGGTGCTCACCAACTCGATGGCCTCTGCTTTCTCCCAGGAACCCCCTTTGAACTTGGCCGCCTGGATGGCAAGGATTCTCTGGCAAAGGATGTCCATCGCCCTCTCGATCTCCCGGCGATTCACCGAATCCAGCACCTCGGCCATCGTGAGTACCTCCTTCATGTCGCGGATCTCGTTCAGCCCACTGAACTGATGAGCCCACGACGCCACCGAGGCCTCCCTGAGCTGCCGGGTGCGTGACAGGCTGCCCTTGGACAGCCTTGCGTAAACCCCGGCTAGGAAGTGGGCCGTCAGGGCTCCAGGATGCTTCGCCGCGAATGCCACCAAGTCGCCCTTCTTCTTCCACTTCAAGCCGTCCACGTGCGCCAGATCCGAGTAGCTCACCTGCCTGTCCTTCCCATCCTCCTTCCATCTGAGAGGCTTCCGGCCTGAGCTTCCGCTGGAGCTGCTGCTGCTGCGGCTGCTGGAACGTGACCGCGACCGGCTGCTCGAACTGCTTGAAGAAGAGCTCCGTCTCTTCTTTTTCTTTCGTGACTTCCGGCTTTTCTTCTTCTTTTTCTTCTTGCTCTCTTTCCGGTCCTTGTCGCGATCTTTCTTTCCCTTGCGATCTTTCAACGAAAGGGCTTGCAACTGAGCCACAGCTGCCTCTAGGGCCTTCAGGTCCACATTTGGAGCCTGACCACTGGGCACCGCGACCTCCCCTGACAGCCCCAGCGCGGCAACCGCGGGCCCTCCTCCTCCACCCACCCCGCCTGGTGCGGCGGGTGGCACAGGAACCAACGGTGCCGTTGCCGCGGTCACCACGGGAAGTTGTACTGGCTCCAGCTTGCCCGCAGTCCCTGCTGCGTTCACTGGATAGCTGCCCGCTCCTGCCATTTGCAGTTGGGCCACAAGTTGTGTCGCATCCCGGATCAGTGTCATGCTCTCTGCGGCGCTCGGCTTCCACTTCTCCTGAGCGTTTGGAGGGACACATAACCAATTCACGGCATTTGGTCCCACTCCGTGTGGTGGACGACGATTGTCTCCCACCGCCGTTGGGGCCACCATCTGCCCTGCACCCGGCAGGACCACAGCCCACATCCACTCCGAACCATCGTCGGTGGTCGTGCGCACCAGCAGCTCCCCTGACACCGGCCCATGAGCTGCCACCCATACCTCGTCGAACTCAGGAGGACGGGACACCAATGCAAATGTACCGATGGGAAAAGGGGCCCCTGCCCCAGCAGCCACCACTGCCATGCTATCGCAGGTAAGTCTCCCGCGATCTGTCCGATGCAGAGTCAGTAGCTTATGTCCCAGCTTTAACCACAGAAACTGGATGGCCCAAACAAGGCTGCCCAGAGATGCTTCAAGCAACCACAGCACCACCAGACCAATCCGCAGCACTAAATGCCAAGCTGTCCGGAGACACTGCCAACTCAGCCAACTGCTATCCAACAGTAAGACAACTCCTCCAAGGATCAGAACGTTTTCAAAGCCACCGACCAGCTCTGATCCGCCTAACACCGGTTGGAGCGCTCGTTGTACTTGATGCACAACCAAATCGGAAGCTGCGTGATGGACAGATTGTCTTAGGTAGTAAACCCAGCCCTGGTGAGCTACGGCTCCGGCAAAGCCCGTCAGAGCAAGCTGCTCTAGGCCCCCACGGTCCATACAGTTTCTACCGTCTCTTGCAGAGAGGCTTGAGCGAAAATTGCAACCGGAGTTGCGGTAACTATCTGTGCATCGTGAAAGAAACTAACTAGTTGAAACAAGGTCCA